TCAGCCATGAAGTCAGGCCCCAGTAACAAAGTGAGAGGCACAGAGAAGGCTTACCCGACCAATAAAAATAATGTTGGGCATTTTGTGATGTCCGCTCTTAGCAGGTCTACTTTTAAAAGTATAAAAAACTGAGTAAAAGTTCTCTTTTAGGTCCATCTCCGGGCAAATAGAAAACCACCTTCCAGCGATCCACGCCACCCCACCCCTTAAACTGATCTCTGGTGTTACTCACCTAACGCTGCAGTCATGTGACACTCTAGTCCCGAGAGTCTTCACATTTCCTGTGCACAGGAAGTGGGACGATTCTTCGGGTGCCCACAATAATGCCCAACAAGGACACTTCCTATTGGCTGTCCAGCAGCGGAGCCCTCTCAGGATCCAGAGGAGAAGTCAGCACGAGGGGACTGTCCGGAGCAGGGGAATCTGCAGCGCTGGCTTAGGGGTCCTCTGTACCCAGAAAAGGCGACAGAAAGGAATACGGGTGGCAGACATTGGTGAGTATATCTCTCTTCTCAAGGAAAGAAAAGGAAGTCCAGGATGGGTAAATAGAGTGTGGGAGGGGTCAATAATTGCCTGGAGATCAGCTTTAACATTGTAATAATCTCAATCTAGAAAACATTATCCGTCTGCTATACCTTTCTGCAGTGCTTTGGGTTGTCCCGCCAGAAAAACAAATCCACGTCACTATTCTATACGGTGTACATGTTTATTTGGCAGTTCTTGATCAAGCGGTGCCTGGTCTTATTCTGACAGTCACTGGCCATCCAGAGACTGTGTAAAGTGCTTGTCGGGGAAGGGAGGGAAGAGTTACATTGGGTGGAGAGAGAGAGAGAGGACAGATAGGACATAACATGGCAAGAAATAGAGAGAACAGTCCCATAGCGCCCTCCAGAGACCCCCCAGGGACAGCTTCTTAGACTGGTTCCATCTGCAGCTCCTCAAAGTCCCCCTCAATCGAATGTAAAGAAGCGTGAGAGCCGATGATGACAAGTGTGGCACCTGTGCAGGCAATTCAAGAAGAGAGAAGCATCTTGTCATCAAAGCAAGGTTAAATGTGACGTTTTTAGAGTCATTTGTTTTCTAGAGTGCATGTCAGGACAAAATTACATAAAAAAACCTAAACATTTGCAGTGCAGCTCTGCCATAAGGTGCACCGGTTCATAGGACGCAGGGAGGTTCTGTGACAGCAGCTGTAGTTAGTGACCGCTGAGACAGGTGGCGCTGTGATTACAGAGCCACGGTCTCAGTGATCACACAGAGCAGACGTTCTTCGTCTGCTATAAAGGTGAGCTCCTATGCCGTGGTCACAGGTCCCCCAGAGGAGCGGGGGACCCTTACATTTAGCTCTGCTTGTCCGGAGCAGGGCTAAATGTACAAGAACAACTCGCCCGCCGCCCGAAACTGCATGTCCCGGGCGTCAGGGATTTGTTTATAAGACGCACACACATTTTCCCCCGCCTTTTTGGGGGGAGGGAAAGTGTGTCTTATGGAGCGAAAAATACGGTACATACAATACATGCACATTTACCCAGGTTTTATCTCTAGAAAGACAATGCAAGGACAGAAAAATACCTGTTGATCTGCCAGACACGCACTCGGACAGGGGGGGGGGATCCCTGCAGGGAGCCGTGAGTGACAGTCACGGCTCTCTGCAGGGACAGGACCGAGAAGGGAGCGAGCGACGGTATGTGTTCGCTCACCTCCCGATCTACTGAGCCGACCTGTGACAGTCTTATTGTCACAGGTCGGCTAGAACTATGAGGTAAGTGAAAAGCACTCACCTCATAGTTCTCCTTAAAAGTCACATTTTTCCTCTCCCCCCCACATGCTGCTGTAAGGACTTACCTTAAATGATCCCTCGTGAGCCAATCATCATCTTCTTTCCAGTAGTTTTCAGGAGTTCCTCCAGCGCTGGTGCCGGTCTCTGATCCGGCGCTGACTGCTGCATCTTCCGTGTCCCACAGTGTCTGTCCACGTGCATTCTGCCGGGCTGCCTGCATTGACTTACCTTGTGTCTCTCCTCATCTCCCGGCCGAAGATCTCTACTGCGCATGCGTCCGCCCCATCATCTTGCTCGGCCGTTCGAGAAGCTTCAGACAGGAACGAGCGGATGAGACACAGGCAAGTAATTACCTTTTTTTGGTAACTTTCTTCTTTTTTTTTATGTCTTTGCATATCTCTACTGCTTGCTAGCAGTAGATGTATGCACAAAAAAGGAGTTTCATTCTACTTTAATCATCACTGAAGGCTCCAGCCTGTATGTGACCAATGTGTCGTAGTGGATAGTGATCACATGAACGGGAACCACTCTGGTTCCCAATTGTTAGTGCGGGATATGAGCTGTCAGGCAGGATTAAGAGCCTCCGCCAGCAAACAATGTCAGCTGCCGTCCTACAAAGGT